AGCATGGGGTAGGCTGGGTCCCCCAGGATCACTATGGGCATTTCAACGTCGCCAATGGTAATCCGCTGGTCATGAAAGAAAATCCCTGCTTTTAGCTTTCTGAATAGTTCTGTGTTCTTAAAGATGCAAGCGTCATGCACCTTCCCTGACCAGCCAACACTGATGTCGGTGAAGTGTTTCCAGTGATCAACCAGCACTTGCAATACCATAGAAAAATAGCCCTTTCTGTTGATGTACTCTCTGGCAAAGTGGGCTGATGCCAAAATAGGGATATGCATGCCGGCTATCATTCTGCCACAGTTTGGGAACCCCATTGCTGCAAATCCACTATGTCCTGCACGTTGCTAAGAGTCACAGTCGTGCAGAGCAGGAGACAGTTAATGGCCCTGCATACTTGCGTGACAACAGCCCCTCTGTGGATTTTCCAACTGCAGAATGATTTTCCCGCTGACCTGTAGCAATCCAGCGTTGCAAGTTGCCACAGTGCGATTGTCGCTTGCTTCTCCACTGTCAGTGCAGCTCTCAGTCTGGTGTCCCTGTGCCGGGGGGCTGTGGTGAGCTCGGCACACAGATCCAGGAATATGGCCTTTCATATCTGAAAGTTCTTCAGCCACTGCTCGTTATCCTAAGCCTCCATTACAATGGGATTCCACCAGTAAGTGCTTGTTTCTTGGGTCTAGAAGCGGCGCTCCACCGTTTGCAGCTGCTCCATGAATGCCACCAGAGATATTGAATTGGTTCTTGCTACGTTCCACAGCCGTCTGCCCTCCTGGAAATCACCATTTTTCCCCTTTGCTCTTCTTGCGGCTCTGCAGCTACCAGAGGATCACTCATCCTGTGCTTGCTGCGCTTGTGACAATAATGCAGAGCTGTGCAGCCTCCATGCTTCATTCAGAGATGACAGACAGCAACAAGTCCTGCACAGATTCATGGGATTTGCAAAATAGGCGCGACAGTTATGGGACAGAGATGGCATTATGGGATGGAGAAAGTTGCATGATGGGAACTTGGTCCCACAATCCAAGTCACTCCCTGCGTGACTCATTTCTGCCCACACCATACATTGTCAAAACTTCCCAAGAAAGAGTGCGCTGGATGATGGTGAGTTGCACGCTGGGATACCTCCATGGTGCACCATGCATTGACATGAATGCTCCCACAGTGCCAACGCAAGGAGCCACATATGTACGCGCACGAGTGATATACTGTTTGCGGTGGCTTTATGCCGACGTCAGTTGCGTTGGCAATAGTTTACCGTGTAGACGTGCCCTTAGACAGTAATGCCTTGGGCTTGGGGTAACGTGGATCTTGGCACTGCCCCCTGAACTCCAGAGAGCGTGCCGTATCTGGGCACTAGCTATGCCAGGCCAATTCTACCTCCTCCCAAAAGCACAACAGAGGAGGAAACATGGAGAAGTTGGAGCTAATTTTTGGCTCAGCCGGGCCCCGACATGACTCTATAACTCTGGCCATTCTTGTGTCTTCCTGACTGGCCATGGTGGCTACTAGCCCCCAGGTGTCTGGTATCAGCGACTGCATGAGTCTCTCTTTCTCCCCCTGCCGGTTGGGCTTGAGTTCCGTGTCCCGTGGTGCTGGAGTGGTGAATGTTACAGTGGGTGCCACCTTTGATCTTGTGGCTCACGGCCAGCATTTCCAAAGAAGCTTTGGGATAGAAATTCCCAGCCTACCTCCTCTGGTGCCTTCACCTGCTCCCACGGCTTCAGTTACCTCCGCCGCGCCAATGAGTCCTGAGCCTGCTAGGCCACTCCTTCCAGATCTCCTGCTGGATTCCCCACCCCTACCTCCGACGCCAGCCCCCATTCATCAGTGCCCTGCACCTGGTGGAGTCATTCACAGCAGTGCAAAGAGGGTGTCACATTTGGTTGTGGTAGCACATTGCACTGGTGTAGCCGGCTCCACGTGGGGCAGGGGTCCACATCCCTGAACTTCTGATTGTTTCTCCTCATTCCTCTCCTCCATTGCCCTTCTTGCTCACTTTCCCATCTCCCTGGTGCCCAGCCAGGGGTTATCTGTGGCTTTTTTCCCCTCTGTAGCTGGGGCTCTTGCTCAGTTTGGTCCCCTCTTCCCATCCAGTGTCATCAATTTCTGCCCATCTCTCGCTGTTCCCACAGCTGCTACTCTTGGCCATGTGCTGGTGGAGTCGGTGGAGTCTCCCAAGTGTAACACTGGTGTATCTGAGAAAGGAATCTGGCCTGCACTCAGATAAATGACTCTCATGGTGGTGTAAGTCAGGAGTAACTTCATTGTAGCCAGTGGGTCAGATGCTCGGTTGGTGTAAATGGGGGGAGCTGATCTGCAGTGGTGGAGGCTCTGGCACGTCGTACTTACACTGGAGTAAAGGAAGGGGTATAAACACACGTCCTTACCGCTAGGCCGCCCTTCGTGCCCGGACGTGGCATTGAAGAGGATTTTGCTTCTTGCACTCCCTCTGGTGGGCACTTCCTCTGCCCGGATGGTCAGCCCCAGCCAGTCCCTCCTCCAGAGTGCCTTGCTTGGTCTTCCGTGCATGGCTCAGTTCAGTCCCCTTCTGGGTTCAGCTCTAAACAAAAAAAGGATCCTTTGCCCCTCCTCAGCTCAACTTCAACTTCAACTCCTCCCCCTTGTCAAGGTACTGACCCCCTGACTTCTCCCTGCTGGGAATCCAAGTGCCATTTAAACTAGCCTTCCACCCCTCCTGCGCATCTATCTCATTCCCTGGTCTTCATCGACCCTGGCTTGGGACTCCTCTCCACTCCCCAGCTAACCCTACTCCTGTCGTTCTGCTTTCTGGCCATGGCCAAGCCCAGCTACAGGAAGGGACTCTCCCTAGTTCATCTCTGCCGCGCCTGTGCTCTCTCAGCTATGTGCTCTGACCCAAGAGGCAATCAATCACCTCCCAGGTGCAGAGCATAACTAAGTTGGGTCTTTCCCTTGCCTTACAGTGCCTGGGTTTGAGGTGAAATAGCAGCGTTTTACCCAGCTGGGCAACGTAGATGGCTTTGGGTCACAGCTGCGTTCTTTGCTCCTATCTCTCTCCAGCTTCACCTTGATCCCAGGAGGCCGCGAAAAGAGAGAGGGAGAAAATGTTCCATGTGGGCCAGAAAATAGCAAAATATGCCCCTGCCAGGGAGCTGGTTAATCTGTGATTTAGAAACCTGTCGCTTTTCTCCCAATATAATCCGGCTTCTCAGCATTCACCAGACAGTCTTGTTCCAGCTGATTGGAGGAACCTGACTGTGATGTCTCCAGGCAAGGAGCTCATGCGTCCTGTGCAGGGCTCGTAGCTGTGTTCACATCGCTCACCCCTGTTGGTCGTTGCCCTCCAGAGGCTGGCTATCTAAGAATGCAATGAGTGCCAGGCCATGCTTGCCTGATGCAGTGACTGCCTGGCTCTGTACCTGCTTGATGCTGGGCCATGCCTGAAGCTGTTCTGCTGGACCTGAGTCTGGGGGGGCGGGGGTGTTATCTTGTTCCATTACACGCCACGAGATTCACTGGGCAGGACTCGCCGCTGATGGGAATTACCATAGCTGTACCAATTTCAGTAGAGCTCTGTTGATCTGTCCCAGCTGGGGATCAGGCCCGTTGTGTCCAGTTTCAGGAAAGAGGGGTGGATTTGCATGTATCTTCCCCACGCGGTTGATTGCAAAATACAAGCAAACGGAACACACGCCGAAGCAGCTTTTCTCCTTGGCTGCATTTAAAGGGCGTGAGGTGTGCTGCAGGCGATCCTGCCAGGAATGGTTGAGAACCCGTTTGTTGTCACTGAGTGAAAAGGGAGGGTGGTTTTGATAGGCGTTGGCTGTGTGTTAAAAGCCGGCACACCTCTGTTTGCTAAGGGCTGGATTGTGCTGCCCTTACTCATGTTAGCTATGACCTTGTTCAGCCAGGAGCCCACTGAAGTCACAGGCGAGAAAGGCACTACTGATGAGTAGTAAGGGTGGCAGAATCTGGCCCTCAAAGGACAGTTCTGATGTGGGAAAGGACTATGCAGCTAAGGCACCGGGTTGCTTACCAGCATGGCCTTGTGGTTAATACACTAGACTGGTGCTCTGCAGATCCATGTTCCATTCCTGGCTCTGCCGTCTGTGATGTAATATTCGTGTGCTTTAGTCCCCAGCTGTAAACTGGGGGTAACAATCCCTCCTTTGTGTGCGTAGATTGTAAGCTCTTTGAGACCGGGGCTGTCCCACTGTGTGTCTGCACAGTGCCTAGCCTAAAGGGGCCTGGAGCTAGGTGAGGACCTGTAGGTGCTACTGTAAACTAAGCAATAATAGTAATAATTTCCTCTGTGCGTACGCCCAGAGTTCTGTCTGCTCACCCGAGATGCAGTAGTAAGCGTTGCTCTTTCTAAGTCTTGCTAGCCCTGCAGTCCCAGGAGAGGGAGCTGAGGGACATTTCTTATTGTGCATCCTCAATCGAACGCTTGGCTAAGGGCTTGTCTACACCTGGAGTTAAGATCAGGACCAGCTGTTGCCCTTTAAATTTGTATCTTGCCCTAATCCGAATTCACTTTCAAGTGCGGACAAGCCTTAGGCCTGGTCTATGCTTAAAATTTCTATCGACCGAGCTTTGGCACTCGGGGCTGTGCAGAATCCACCCCCCTGAGTGCCGTGGCTACGCCGATATAACCCGCCAGTGTAGACACAGCTAGGGAGACGGAAGGATGCGTCCCTCAGCGTCGCTGCCTCTGCTCGGGAAGGTGGAGTTCCCGCAGCGACAGAAAACGGCGGCATAGCTATTGCTCCATAGCTGTGCCACTGTGCCGCCTGTCATGTGAACACGCCCTAAGTTTGGTTCGCTGCAGCTCTGCAAACTCGGCAATTGCACTGAGGCTGCACAGGTGCCGCTGGCGGGCGTCCGGTGAAGAACGTGGGGCTGTCCTGATTTCACTGAGGACTTGCGTTAGCCTGCAGCATCTGCATGCTTCTGGGGAGGGGTGAGGGGGTTGGCACCAGTTCAAATGAAGTAATTTCCCCCCTTCCCCTTGTTTTTCCTAGAACAAATAGTGGAGAAAGACGAGGGACCATACTACACCCACCTGGGATCGGGACCAACAGTGGCATCTATCAGGGATCTCATGGAAGAGAGGTACGTCCTGGATGGTTTGCAACAAGAGAGACAGGCGGAGTAAAATCCCCCCCGCCTGTGCAGAGGGCCCTGTGGAGGAGGGGTTATGCTGAATCAGTGCATTCCTTCACTGCCCCGCCCCACCTCGCCTCCTCCACAGCTGGGACTGCTCACTTTTCTGCCTTGCAAAGGACCCCCAGGGAAGAGGGGGGCGATTGCAGATGCTTCCAGTGCCCTCTGCTGGTCATGCTGCCGCTGAGGCCCCTGTGCCAGGGGCTGTAGCCACATCACCCCAGGTGGAATCTAACCCACGGGCGTCTTCTAGGAAGGCTGGTGTTGTCGCCCCAGTTAAAGGCTGATCTGGGCAGAGTCGTGTCTGTGCCAGGGCGAACAATTCCTCCAATTTATCAGGCACAGCTAGAGTCTTCTTCTGCACCAGGCCCACCGCTTCCCCTCCAGCTGGCGTGATGCTTGTGGACAGCGTAAATGGGAAGCCGAAAAGCCACCCTCCCGCCACCGCGCTTCCCCCGCCGCACATGTTCTACTTGTGCTTGAATTCACCTGCCTGCTGGTTGCGTTATCCCGTGGTGGTGATGCAGGATGGGGTGTGGGATTTTTGCTGTCCCGGCTTGAGTTCCAGTGAAAGTTGTCTGGGTTTGTCAGCAGTGCCTGGGAGAGGTTCTGGTGAAAACAACTTTCACGGGTCCCTGAAGGGTTTGTCTGCACTGCCAACGGGAGGCGTGGTTGCAGCACTGATGGATACACCTGAGCTATCTTTGATCCAGCTCTATGGGGGTTGGGGACACCCCCGTATGTACCCAAGGTCCCTGGTAGGGAAGGATGCTGCTTCTGGGGGGTTTCACTGCTATCGTTAACTCTAGTGTAGATCAGCCTACAGCACATACAGTGGTCGCACCTCTGACTGCACATACCCTAAATCACTGTGGCCTTGGCTAGACCAGGATTCAGAGTTGGTAGAGGGTGTTAGCTGACATATTCTGCCTAACACTCCGGAAAGGTCTAGGGAAGGCACGGCACCCTGCCTTAAACACGGGCTAAGGTGGTCAAGGGAAAGCCATGGTGGGAACTAGATGCCTGTGGGAAACCACACTGGTTAGTCCAATTTGCTGCAGGGAGTCTCTTCGGGCTTGGGTTGGCCAACCGGTTTGCTTTGCTTCCCACAGCCAGGGCTGGCAGGTCCACTGGCGAGTCGTGCGCTGCCCGGGTGCATATCTGCATGGTACGCCAATGAGTATCGCATGACGAGACGTATCATTTGCCTCCCACAGACAGTTCAACAGCTGCCAAACTAAGCAACCGGCCAAGAGCAAGTCAAAACCTTTCACGGTTACTATTCCTTATGACTGCGGTCAAGACGGTGAAATTGGCAATAGAAAAGACCAGTGGGGTCACCCAGCCTGTCGCTCTGCCAGGGCAGGATTCTTTCCTACAGCTCGCTCTCCAGTGTAGTCCAGGATTTTTGGTGGTGGTTGTTTTTTGTCTCAAGCAACAGGGCTCCCGCCCCTTCCTCTTGGGAGACTGTACAATCTCACTGGTAGCCAGAGCCCGCTCGCTGCTAGTTAGGTGTAAATTTGTCTGAGTCGGGCTATGTTAGGTCCTACCGTTAATAGATCTTGCTGTTAGGAAACATTTTTCCCTTTGCTCAATTTCATCCCATAGTGCAGGGTCCTGCCACCCAGTTCTACCATCTCCTGCCTTGGTTATGACACCCCGGACGTATTTGTGCAGCTGAGTTGTTTCCAGGCCTACGTCCTCCCCTTGGCAGGTTGAAAAGAGCGGAAGGGACTGAGGAGGACGGACGCATATTGCCTGAGCCAGCGCGGTTCCAGGGCATTGTCGCGTCTCAGCAGCAGGAATGTGGGGAGTTGGGAGGGAGCAGCTTGCAGATTGCAAGGCGGCTGTGCAGCCGGACAGTCAATGGGGGCTAAACCCCGTTGATCTCTGCCCAGCTGTGCACCAGGATCCTGGTTTTGTGGGCTTAGTCCCCTGGCTAAGATGTCTAGCTCTCCACCTGCCTGCACTGAGCATCATGCTGCTCATCCCCCTACTTGTCCCCCTGGTCAGGAAAATCAAAAGCAGGTGGCGCTGCCTTGATTTCTGAGAGCCCAACTTGCCGTGACTTGGGGCCCTGGGCTCAGCAACAAGCCCTCAGGTTGGGCACCGAAAATCACTAGAGGAAACCCTCAGCCACTGTACACACCTGCCATGGAGGGGCTGCTGGCAGCTGCTTGGGGAGCACGTACGCTCCCTTGCCCCTCTGCCCCGTGTCCCACCGAGGGGCTGGGATGTTTGGACTTGGCAGGGAAGGGTTGGTTTGCTAATCCCAGGCTAATCTAATCGAGCCCTCCAGCCCTTCAGGTCTGGGAACGCCGAGTAAAATCCTCGCCCCATTGCAGGCCAAACTCCTACGGACGTCACCGTGGCCAGGACTTCACCCTGGGGTTGGAGACGGGGATGGTACTAGCCGGGGGAGGGAATGGGCTTTGCACCAGCTTTGCTCCCCCTGGATTCTGGACTATTCTAGGGGCCAAAATACCGCCCCACCCTCCCAGCCTAAACAAACCGGGCCCATCTCAGCCTGGCTGTGGCAAAGCCCAGAATCCTGCTCCAGGCCTGCCCCCTATGTGATGAATGGGCTGGTGTCAGATCTGCTTGTTCTCCATTGTGCAGCGCGCAGGAATATGCCTGAGGGGGAGGGGAAGCGGCAAAGTACCACGCAGGCAGGTGGGGCCCAGATTAACTGGGTTACACCCCGGGGATTGAGTCATGGCGCTAAATCAGCCAGAAACACAGCATCACCAGGGTTGATGGCATTACGTCACCGACCCTGGAGGCATGGTGAGTCACGGGGGAACAGGCGAGCCATTGAAAGGAACCCACAACCCCCTCCGGGGCAGGGGGTAATTACTGACGCCACATGAACGCCCTCAGAGCCAACAGACATTGACTGGTCCTGATCCAGAAAGGTACCGAACACCCCTGAGAGGTGTTGACTGACCTCAACTCCCATGCAAGTCAGTAGTGCTTGGCAGGATCGGGCCCCTAATGAGGCATAAATCCTCATTGGCTTGGAGTCTTGCCTCTGCCACCAACTGTGTCATCTTCAAGCAAGCCACGTATTAAATCACTCTGTGCCTCAGTTTCCCCATCTTGCCCGCCTCCCAGAGGGGGTTGTGAGGCTGAAGTTAGGTAATCTTTGTGAAGTGAATTGAGGTCCTTGAATAGAAGGGGGGGGATGCAAGTGCAAATGATTTTAAAAAGTGAAATCAACAGGTTTTGTTGTTTCATGTTCTCAGTCTGGGCTTGTGGGAATTAAATTTCCTGCCCATCAGCCTGTGCAGTGAGCGCCCCCTGTGGATTCTGGAAGCTTTGCAGCTCAGGGCAATAGAAATTCACCCGCACCGTTTCAGCAGATAGTCTTTTCACAGCAATAATGTGGAGTTTTATTGTGTTATTACACCTGTCTGTGCTTCTAGGTCAGAGGATACAGCATTTGCAGCTTGGGAATGACTTCAGCATCAGAACTGCACGTGCCGAGTCAGGCTGTGCACTCGGTCGGGGTAGATCTGGAAGCACTGCACTGGCACCAGTGGCTATTCGCCAGTTCAGCTGAGCACAAGCTCGTCCATTGGGCACCATAGAGCTTTGGTGGAGCTGTTCCTTGAAAAACTCCCACCAGGAATCCCAGTGTGCATAAGGGTGTCTAAGCTCCCTTCACTAAATGGGCTGGATTTAATTCAAGGACGGGAGTGGACAGGTTCTGTCCTCCCCGACACTAGGGCTAGGTTTTCTCCAAAGCACCCAGCGTTGGTCCTCACTCTGCTTCCGCTGAAATCAACGATAAAGCTCCCATTGACGTCAGCGGGAACAACGCTGAGCGCTTCAGAAGATCCCTCCTAAGATGTGCAGCAGCAAGTTTTGGGCTGTCATATGCCCCGGTTTCCATTGCTGGAGCAGGCAGGTCATTGTAAGGCAGGTTTAGGACCCGGGGTTGCAGGGTCCTAGGTGACCGATGCCTCCACCTCACCACTGGGGAGCCAGGTGAAACAGCAGCCAACGATTACTGGTGGGGTAGGCACTGCAGGAAGTACCGCCCAAAGAAGCTAGAGAGACAGAACCCTGCAGCCGCCTGATTGGTCAGCACCAACTATTTAAAGCAGGAAGCTGCCCTAGGGAGCCGTCTGAGCAACAAAGCAGGCTCTGGCTTGCTACTGCTACTGACCTCATCCTTCACCCCGTTTTGGTCCCGATTCCTGCCTTCGACCCCGGCCCAGCGGACATCACTGCCTGCGCCCCGGCCGTTACAGTCATGAGCGTCGATGGGGGTCAGGGGGATGGAAAGCTCATGTTGGAAATTGCCTCCCGTTCTCAGCTGGCTGTCAGAGAGGGTGACTGCACAGGCCAGGATCTGCCAGCCCATGGGTGCTCACCTGTGTTTAAAGCCCTGGATAGTGACCTACCACAAGTGGTGGTGATGATGCGTTCTCCTGCTTAGTCTCACCTGCAGTTCCTACAACAGCGGCTTCAGTTTTCTCATCAGCCTCCTGGCCACCATTCCCCACATGCCAGGGCGAGCTCTGGATTCGCTTTGCGGTGGTGAAGCAGGTAGTTATTAGGAAAGTGGGATGCTGAGGCTTGCCTTTACGCTCCCCCTAGTCCCTTTTGAAGTGTGTTATCTGGATCGCGTCTCTCTCCGGTCGGTCAGAGGTAAATGGATGGGTGTAGAGCAGGTTAATGAGATGTACTCACTAGCCGCTGCTGCTCAAATCTTCCCTGTCGCTATCCGTGTTCCCCGTGGGTGAGGGAGGTGAAATCCAGTCCAGGAAGTTCCCATCCACCCTGTAGATCAGGAACATCTGAGCTTGGGAGCCGAGCAGTGGAGAATTCTGCAGGGCCGATGAGATGTCTGTGTTTCGGCTCCATCTTCTCTTGCTGGTGCCGTTTGCTTCTGGAGGCTTTCAGCTGAGAACGGAATAACTAGGTGGGTCAATCAGCGACAAGGGAATGGCCTGCCATTAGATTAGCTTATTTGTTGGCTCTTAGTGGAAGTGCCCATAGACTGTCATGGGGAGGGCAGTGCTTGCCAGGCAGGAGGGGGCGTTGATACAACACTCTGAGATCATGAGATGAAGAGCAGGGCAGGTTGTCAGCTCTTTGGGGGCAGGGACTGTCCTTTTGTTCTGTGTCTGTACAGCGCCTGGCACAATGAGGGCCTGGGCCGTGGCTGGGGCTTCTAGGGGCAATCACCACACTATAAATCATAATATGCTTCTGTGCAGCAGAGACGTGCTGCAGTTTGCTCTGGCTTTCCAGTTATGCTCATGCATGAGATGGAGCTTTGTGCACAAAGTGTCCTTGTAAACTTGGGTGTCTAGGATTTCACAGCCGTTGCTATGCGATGGGGACAAAACTCAGGTCCTCCTGTTCCAGAAGATGAACCGCTGCTGCTTGGTCTAAAGCAGTATGGGGTCTAAGCCACGCGGATAAGCAGTTTTGATTCTTTCCCATAGAGGGCAGTGGTGTGCATACCCACTGCCCACTTCGTGGCAATATCTCATCTAGATGAGTAGCAATTTTACGTCGAGCTGAAATCCCATTTGTCTACAGTGGGAGCTGCAAAGCCCTTCTCAGTGGAGTTGGCTGGCATTGCCTGGGAATTCATAGGAACTGCCAGGCTGCGTCTGACCCGAATTCAGTCCATCCCAGTGTCCTGTCTCAGATGGTGGCCAGCACCATACGCTTCAGAAGATGTGAGAACCCTGAAGTAGCAGGTATGGGATCATCTGCCCTTCACAATTGGTCTCATCCTGACCCCGAACAGTTAGATTGGCTCAAGCATTGAAGCATAAAGGTTCATATCCCTTCCAACACTTTTGCTGGCATTAATATGATAACTCTGAATATTCATATAAATGCCCAATTCCTTTTTGACTCTTGCTCAGTGCTGAGCCTCAGTGACTTCTAATGGCAATGAGTTCCACAGGCTAATGACGTTCAGTGGGATCTAGGCATCGGACTGCCATTTGAAAATCTTCCCCAGGAGCACTGTGTGTTGCAGACTGTTATGCGCACATTATTGATAGTTCTAAGCTATGGTTGTAAAGCAATCTATTGACCTATTTTATGTCATTATTGTAGTGCCTAGGGACCGACCAAGAATGGGGCCCCGTTGTGTTAGGTGCTGCACATACACATAATAAGAGACAGTCCCTACAATCTAAAGAGATAAGGCAGATAAAGGGTTAAGGGGAAAGGGTCTAGCATACAGGCGGAGTAATTAGAGCGATGGTTTGCAAATAGTGCCACAATTTTGCAATTGATCGCCCATGTATTAAAACCCCCATCGGACACAAATTAACCCCGTATCCACTGTTTACAAATGTCCCCATCCCCTCCACGTAAAGTGTGACCAAAGTGCAGTCGCTTCGGCTCTGGTTTTTGCATCAGAATGCACCCAGCCTGTCTTTTTGTGTCCCCGTCCTGCTCCCCTCCTACTGCCGGTTCCCAACATCTGCAAAGTCTCTGAAGCGCCTGGCAGTTCTGCTGGCGTGAAGCAGCCCGGCCACAATGGCTGTGTGGGTGCGTTCACCCATGAACATCAGCCGGGGCATGGGAATCCTTGTTTAAAAGTGTCTCGCTAGCAAAACTCGGCAGGGCCGTGTGGGCCGGCTCTCTTCCCCCGGGGGTGATGGATAGTGCTGGCTTCGGGGGGCGGAGGGGGGAGCTGGCGTCGTTAATTAGTGCTTCCAGGAAGGAGGCAAGTGGGAAGATTAATCTGTGCTGATTAGCTCCAGCGAAAACCCCAGGTTGCCGCGATCAGTTGGCTGAGAGCGCCTGACAGAGCACTCTGGTCTGCGTGCCAGAGGGGAAGGAATGAGGAGACAAAGGGGCGCTCCCCTGGTGTACATCGGAAGGAACGTTGTTGAACTCGCTGGGCGTGATTCCGTGCTCAGTCCCACTGATCGGCAGCCAATGGGATAACACCTGTGTAGGACCGATGTGAAGGCAGGATCAGAAATTAGGGCCTGATCCTGCAAGAGGAGTGTAAGGGCAGGAGTTGGGGGGGGGGACTCAAAATTACTTCCTTTCCCTGGCTGCGATAAAGTGGACCCACTCCTTGAGATACCCCAGGTGCTCAGTGTGTCTCAGGGTACGTCCACGCTTGGAGGGAGGCGTGCGATTCCCAGCCTCCCCCGAGGTCTGAGTGTAGACATACCGGAAGCGTAGCTCCCGAGAATGAGAGGGGCGGGACCCAGCTCTGCTGGGATAAAGGATTCTGTTACCAAACTAACGTATGCGTTGGCGGGGAGGGAGTGAACGCTAGGCAGAATTTCAGGTGTCCTTAGGCCTTAGTCTTGCTGCCCAGCTGCAGATCGCTAGTGCAGACGCGATTTGCACAGCTGCAGCTATGTCTCAAAATCCCAATGCAGACGAGATCTCGGTTGACTTCCAGCTGGGTGGCTAGGGAGAGGCGATTGGGACCCAGAACGGGCTGTAGTGGGGAAGGCACTTGGATGCACAGCAGAAGGGATGCGTGGGGTGAGTCACGCCCGTCCAATGGGGTTAGAGGTCTGGGGAGAGGAAAACAAGGATACGGGGTGTGGGAGGGGAGAGCATCCTTGCATACCTTCGGCATAAGCAAGTCTCCCAGGAATTAACATAGCCGTGAGGTCTGCGATCTTCCGCTCTTGGAGTCTGGCTAGCTACCTCATCTCCTCCTCACCTGAGAAGTCTGAGGGAAATCCACCCGCACCCATTGGCATGGCCAGCATGGAAGAGCTGAATCGTAGCTCAGAGCGGGGCTGCTGTGCTGTCACATTCATGGAATCGGGTGAAATTCCGGGGTTAGAATCAGACCCGTGCACCAGCTGGTTCCCACTGTTTGGAGGGTGAAGGTGGTGCACAGACCTCTGTGCGAGCACCCTGCATGAGGGGGGAATGTCACACCATGTGAACCACAGTGTGGGCAGGGCTGGTTTCCGCACAGGGAAGCGAGAAGGAAAGTGTGAAACACAAATGGCCGTGCGAGTGAAAAGAAGCGTTCATGATGCAGTGGGCTTGGGATTCAGGAGACCTGGGTTTGATTCCTGGCTCTGCCACTGGCCTGCTGGGTAAGCTCCAGCAAGTCACTTTCCCCACCTCTGTGCCTCAGTTTCCCCATCTGTAAAAAGGCACCAATGATACTGACCTCCTTTGCAAAACACTTTGAGAGCTATGACTGAAAAAGCTCTATATAGGAGCTAGGAATTACTGTTCTTCTCTCTCATTTCCTTTAGGGACAGTCTGTTTTTTAAATCACATCCATTCTGGCAGCTCAGCGGGCGCTGATTCTTTCATTGCATGTCCTTGCTCTTGCCTACACTCATTTGATGCCTTTTTCCACCAGGTATGGCGAGAAGGGGAAAGCCATCAGAATCGAAAAGGTCATCTATACAGGGAAGGAAGGCAAAAGCTCCCGGGGCTGCCCGATAGCGAAGTGGGTAAGTGCCAGCCGTCTTGGTGGGCTTTCAGATTTTTTTTAATATGACTAACTCAGACCAAGAATGATTTCCCAATTCTTCTGTCATCTGAGTGTGATCTCAAAGTCACCTTGCGCTTTGGGGAAATGGGGTGATCAGAGAATGGGGTATCTACAGTAATGGTACAGGTGCTCGGAGGCTGTGGGGATGGGCATAGAATGAATAGATGGAGGGCTAGATGCAGAGAATAGAACATTCACACATTCCATCACCAGGTGGGATATTTTCATTGGTCTTGTGTTCAGAAATGTTAGAGAGCTCTCTCTTTTCTTAACTCAAATCCATCTAATTTTATTTCATTGGCTTAATCTAGCCATCTAATCTAATCGATTGGATCTAATCTATCTGAGGTGATCTAATCTGTTTGTGCTAATCTGATCTGCATCTAATCTGTGCAATCTAATCTGTTTGATCTAAAACAGCTCTCTAATTTGAGCTAGTCTGTCGGATCTACTCTAATCTGTTTGATCTGCTTTCGTAATCTAATTATGGGGAAGAGGATGATTAAAACGCTGGACTGGCACTCAACCAATCTAGGCTCAATTTCTTCGCTATGTGACCTGGGGCAAGTCTTTTGGAAAACTACCCTCCAGTTAGACCACAAATAATAGTCTTGATTCAAGAACCGCTGGATGAAATCCTGTGGCCGGTGTTATGGAGAAGGTCAGACTAGATGGGCAAATTGTTCCATTCTGGCCTTAAAATCTATGAAAGTCACGTATCTCTCTGTGCCTCCAGGCGCTGTCTTTAACGTGGGGATGACAGTGCTCCTTTTGTGTGTCTTGTCTGTTTAGCTTGTAAATTCTTTGCCATAGCGCCTGTCTCGCACTATGTATATGTACAGGTTAGGTGGAGCCTCCAGGTGAGACTGATACAAGTAATAATCTAATCTGCGATAGTTTATCTAGTTATTCGTGCCCTGCTCATCACCATGGTATGTGGGCATCTCTTCTCTCTCCTCTCTTTACACTGACGCTCCCTGTCTCTCCTCTCCCCATTTCTCCCTTTAATCACTATCCTGTTCCTTTCCCCACCTGGGCCCTCTCTCTGCAAGGAGCATGGCAGCCAGCTGGCTACAGATTGGACCTTCTGCGCTTTCCAGCGGCCACTTTTGAAATGGTAAAAACTCTAAATGGGGAGGTGAGGGGAAACCAACCCTACCCCCAGCGCCTGGTCTCACTAGTCAGTGAACTGTTCCACTCTCAGATGGGCCATCAGCAGGCTAACAGAGGCTTTGAGCAGCAGGAGGGCTTGGCTGGGGAGAGTTCTTTGTTCCATGAGAGCGATGGGTCCTGTCTTTCCTTTTTTGGTCTCTGTTTTTGGTGCTCAACATTTTTAGCTGGGTGATACTGAGCCGTGCTGGAGGGACCTAGTTCTGTCCTGCTGAGTGGTGGCTGCTCCCGCAGCAGATCCTGGGGTGCTCAGGGCGAGGAAGGCTGGTACCGTGAAGTCCAGTGGGCCAATTTTACGATGTAGCAACCCAGCAAAAGCTGCGCATGGTGGGATACCCTACCTGGGCTAGCGTGAATGCAGCTAGCTTGGGTCTCAACAGTAGTGTAAACAACACAGTCTGGACTAGAGAACCTGGCACGCTCTGAAGTTCATGCTGTCCTGTTTACACTGCTGCAGTTACCTTCGTTAGCTGGATTCAGGTAGGGGAGTGTGTGCGCTTCTCTGGCTGTGTAGCCCTGCCCTCAGTTGGTTTCAGAGAGGGGATCAAATGAATGAATTGACTTTAACTCTGTCAGCTGAGAGGAGAACCTGACCAGTATGTTCCAAACCACCAGCTTGTATTTGGTTAATGTCCATGTGCTGTGTTGTACTGAATATCGCACATGGAGACCTTAGGGTGACCAGATGTCCCGATTTTATAGGGACAGTCCCGATTTTTGGGTCTTTTTCTCATATAGGCACCTATTACCCCCCACCCCCTGTCCCAATTTTTCACATTTGCTATCTGGTCACCGTAGGAGACCTGTAGCTGGAGGTGAACCTGGACTGTGGAATTCACCACCTGGCCCAGACTTCTCTGGGGATTCCCGCTGCATTTAACAGGGTCTTGGGCATTTCCATCCTAAACACTGCTCAGCCCCGGGGACTGAAGAAAGACCAGGGGAGTACAGAAGTGGGGGAGGGACCCGATGTGTAGAAGGAGGGAGCAGAAAAGACCCAGACTGTGGCAGAAGTTATGGAAATCATTTTAACCGTGTGTTATTTTAAAGAACACTGGACCAGATTCAGATCTCATTGGCACCGGTGTAAATTTGCTGAAGGCAATGGAGTTACATCGCTGTAACTGAGATCAGAATCTGCCTCATATGTAGAGGAATTCTGGATTCTTTTCTCAATGACATGAGCATAAATCAGGCGCAACTCCCTTGAAAGCAACTGGAGAGCCCAGAATTGGCCCATCAAGTTTCTAATGGCTCAAGCTTGGAGCTGGTATCTCTGGGTTATCAGGAAGTCGAGCTGCCTAGGACCTGCTAAGAGCCCACCATGGGATTGTCTCTCGCACTGCATCAGGAGGGATTGAGCTGAGAACAGGTGTCCAGTGAAGGTCGCGTTGCTGGAAGGGCTGAGTGTGATCACCGGGACAGGGTTTGTCTCTGAGCTGGGCAGAGATGCTCGAGAGCGGCTGATAAGAGTGGCCACTGGGGAGCATATGGGAGGAGATAACGCTGGCCCAACAGGGACCAAACAGCGCAGTGCCCTGGAGGGTGGAAGCCAGCTGCCAGCCTAGTTATGTTTCTCAGCGTTGCTCTGTGCTGCTGGCTGTTGTGGGGAAACATGAAGGACTTGAGATCGAGGGACAAAGTCTGACTCCTACGTTACAGGCCAGGCTAGAGCCAACTCTGTTGCTGGTTCACAGAGGGAGGGGAGCTGGGGCAGTGCTGCTGGCTGACAGAAACCCTTTCCATTGTGTTTTAAAGCAGGGAAGGTGCAGTTCTATCACGGTCAGAGGGATGTACCCCGATGTCAGGGTGGGGGTGCTGTCCAGCCGTGAGGGGGCAGCTGCACCCCGATGTCAGGGTGGGGGTGCTGTCCAGCTGTGAGGGGGCAGCTGCATCCCGATGTCAGGGTGGGGGTGCTGCGCATCTATCAGGGGGCATCTGCATCCTGATGTCAGGGTGGGAATTAATGTTCTTCTGGGGTGGGAAAAGGAAGTCAAGTTTGAACGTTACCCATGTCCTGGTGGCCGGCTCGTTGATTTCTTTTAGAGCACGTCAGATGCATTTTTAAACCCATTTTTTGCCGGTGCTAGGGGACAGAAAAAGATAATTTCTATCCTGAGGTTCTTGTATTTCTGTGCAGAAACATCGGAGTGTTTGTGTGCGTGTGTGTGGTTGAGATGACATGGATTCAAACATCCCCAGACATTGGAGGGAGAGGGGGAGGCGACACTGATGCTTTCATAAAACATGGAAACCCCCCCAGATGCAGATACAGGCTGAATGGCAAGTGTGTTTCCTTTCCTGTGATGCTCTCAGATCCCCCATGCTAAACAGGGCCAGTACTTGGCTGAGAGATCTGCATGGAGAACCTAGCTGCTCCAAGAAGCAGTGTCGGTGTACCAGTAGGAAGTAATCTAAGTCAGTGCTGGATGGTTCCCCCAGCCAGGTGTAGATGCTGCCTTTGGAGGTCAGACGTGCAGGAGGCCTGGTGGCTCGTGGCGACGCTGGGGGATGTGGTTTAGAGAAGCAGCCGGGTGGGTGTGAAAAGCAGCCAGTGTGAGGAATTCCCCGGTGTCTCAGCAGCGGGAGGCGAATGAGCGAGTGAGCGCCAGGATGTGAGAGTAGCAGCGTGTGTAATGGACTAGCCGATATGGAAGTGAAAGACAGTGGCTGAGTAGGTCAGTCGAACCTTGTCTACGTTAGGGAAATTTTGCAGAATTTCCCACCGTTGCTAACCCCCGCTCAGCTCTGCAGCTGTAAACGCCCTGCTCAGAGCAGGTCTCATAGACATAGGGTGAAATCCTGGCTCACAGGGGTCAGTGGGAGCTTTGCCGTCGATTTCATTGTGGCCAGATTTCACTCTTAAGGCTCAAAAGGCTGGGGGCCTGTCTACGCTAGGGCTATCAAGGCTGCTTGCATCGGTGCAGATGAAGCCTATGTCAGTAGCCATGGGAAAAGTTCGCAAAGTCTGCGTCTAATTCCCAAGCCCCAGGGAGGGCCATCGGCATCAAACCTGGGACCATGTGCTTTTAGGGTCTGAGCTAAATGACCCACATCTGTTGGCTGATAGTGTAGCAGGCTCAGCAACCTCTGTATGTGGCCCAGCCACCACTAGAGAGGGACACCGCACCACACTGAGTGGGGGTAGGTGATAGGCACATGACCCAGGCGTCTGAGAGATCATTTCAACCCACGCTGATGTTAGAACGTCTGCCTGGCTCCAGTGCTTTAGCTCACAGATCTGGTATGAAGCTGCTGTGATTGGCCAAATCATGACACTGCGATTCCAGTGGCACTCATTGAAATCAGTGGGGATTTTGCCCAAATAAGGGATTCCAGGATTTGGTTAATAGGGACGAATACACACTTTTCTCATGCGTATGGGGCCAAATCCTGAAGCCGTTAGTCCGTTAATCCCTCAGTGGGAGCTTTGCCCAGGTAGTGGCCTGAGTAGAGCTGCGTGGGATTTCTTCCACAAAATGTTTTTCACCAAAAAAAAGCCGATTTGCTGAAACCTGAACTGTTTGTATTGGTAGAGCCCTGCATGGATACAAAATTTGGATCCACCTCCAATCTGCCAACATGGTCCGTGGATATCTGCAGATTTGCAGGGCTTCAGATATAAAATTTGGATCCGTCCATCCGCAAACATGGTCCGCAGATATCCACGGGGATAAAGTGGATAGCTGCAGATTTGCAGGCCTCTAAGCATTGGGTTCAATGAAACACCCAGTGCGAAAAATTGGTGGTTTAAAAAAATAGTTTCAAAGTTGTCAAACCAGAAAATTTAAGTTTTTCAAGCCTAAATGACTTTTCATTTCCAAGTAAATTTATACTAAAAAAGGTTGTTGTTTTTTTAAGGGAAAAAGGGTGAAATGGAAACCAAACATTTCCATTGACTCAAAACCAATTTTTTTTTTCAGATTTTTGGTTTGCAGAATTTTTTTGACATTTTGATTTTTCTCTGGATTTGAGGCAGGAATAAATTTTGCAATGTTGAAACATCTCATGGGTTGGGAAAACCATTTCCTGCCCAGCCCAAAATCTGAGTGAAAACTAAAGTCTTCAAGATCTGGCCCCTTAATATTTCCGGAGATCTATGCAGGGCTTCCAAAAGTGACTCATGAGTTCGAGACATCATAACGGGCTGTGACTTTCAGAAAGTGTTGAACACCTCCCATTCTGAAAACCAGGCCCCTTTAAAGTGGGTGGCCAGGTTGACTTTTGAGAATCCCTGGCCACCTGCTTATAGGGCAATATTTTAAAAACATGTAAGGAATTTAGGAGAACAGCGGTGGGACTTGTGCTCCTGAATCCCACAGGGCTCTTGAAAATCTCTCCCTTCCAGTGGATAACGTTCTGGTGGAAGGGGCTGGATTGAGAATCCCAGAGAATCTAGTTCCATTTACCCACCAAGTGTTACTAGCACAAGCAGTGTCTGTACAACCTCCACCGTGTGACAGTCCCCTTGGTGTGTCTCAGCACTGAAGGGACCCCTGAGGGAGGGGGGTTCAGGTTGCATGGCCCATTTAGTCCCGAGATTGCCAACTTATTTTGCCTAGACATCTGACCACTGAGATGCAGCATGCCCCAGTAGGACAGGTTCTATTCCCAGCATTGCCCATTGCTAGTCATTGCACCTCCCTGTGCTTTTCTTTCTCTTCCCACCCTGTGTCTTATCTGTTTAGACTGTAAGCTGTTTGGAGCTGGGACTGTCTCTTACTAGAAGTCTTTACAGCACCTAGCGCGATGCAACCTGCTCTTGGTGGGATCTCCAGGCACTCCAGTAGCACAGCTGTTCATAATAATAGTAGTGACTATTGGTCACTACCAAGCAGATCTAGGGGTTGAATATCCCATTGCCGGTCCCCGATTAGAAGGGCCTGCAAGCTCCTCACAGCCATTCCTGGCGAAAGCGAGAAGGAAAACATGCATCTGAGGGCGGCTGGCTCCAGATATTTTCTGGGGACAGAGCTTCCTGTCTCCACCCTTGCCTTTCACCACTAACTGTGCACGGCTGCTTTCCAGGTGATCAGGAGGCACAACCAAGAGGAGAAGCTGCTGTGTTTGGTGCGGCACCGAGCCGGTCACCACTGCCAGAATGCTGTCATCATCATTTTAATCCTGGCCTGGGAGGGCATCCCTCGCACCCTGGGTGACACGCTGTACCAGGAGCTCACTGACACGCTCACTAAATACGGAAACCCTACCAGCCGCAGATGCGGCCTGAACGACGAGTAAGTTCCGTTTGCGCCGCAGCCCGGGCGCTGTGATTTCCCCTGCTAAACAGGGGCCTTGGTCCATGTTTGCATGGGAGGTCTTCCCGGGGCTCTTTGGGGTAGGTGACGTTCAGAGTCAGCACGGCGCTGCTGTTGGTGGGACCGCTGGGGCCAGAGGGGCCGTCTTTCTGGGCGGCGCATCAAACCGAAGCCCTGGTGGCTTGTGGACATTACAGGTCTCATGGCGCTGTCTTTCTGCCAGAGTCCCAGTGCTAGCGACAACCTGCATAGGTTCCATAATGTAATGCTGGGTACATGGATTTTTGGATGGAAACCAAGGGGAGTTTTGAGCCCAAATCTGTTTTGGCCGAGGCGATGTCTGCCCTGCAGCTGGGAGATATCATTCCTAGCTTGGGTAGACATGCATGCGCGAGCTTTGATGGAGCTAGTGTGCTAAAAAGAGCAGCACAGCTAAAAAGAGAGCGGCTTGGACTAGCCACCTGAGCACAAGCCCGGCCGAGATCCTAGGTGTGTGCTCAGGTGGCTAGCTTTTTAGCATGCTGGCTCGTGTACATCCGCTGGGAATCCCACCAGCCCGCCGCAGCGGAGACATAGGCTACGTTTGACTTCGAGCTTTCTGAGGCTGGAATTTAGGAGCTGCAAACTCCTGCAAGGAAACGGCTGCATCAGCCCCCTGTGCAAAGGGAAACTAATGAGGGGCTCCCAGCTCGTGGGCTCGCCCTGTTACAGATTGTTGTGTGTTGCATGTCGTAAAAACTCACCTGGGCGCTGCCTCGCCCAGAGCCAGATTCCAACTGGGGTCAATGCGTTCTACCTCCCGGAATTCCCGCTGCAGCGTCCACTGGACGCTCCGTTGGCTGGAACAGAGCTGGCATCCCCAGTGAGTGAAATTCCTCCTTGCTTTTCTCTTGCAGCCGGACCTGTGCATGTCAGGGCAAGGACCCCAACACCTGCGGTGCTTCTTTTTCCTTCGGCTGCTCCTGGAGCATGTATTTCAATGGATGCAAGTACGCCCGAAGCAAAACTCCCCGAAAGTTCCGACTGGTGGGGGACAATCCCAAAGAGGTCAGTGAGCCCCCTCTGCCTGCCTCCGTTAACTCAAGCAGGGAAGGTAGTGCTAGGGAAAGGTGCTGGAGGGGAAGCTCTTTATCAGTAGATCCTGGCTTTACAGGTGAAAGGATAGAAAAAGTCGTCCCAGTAAAGCATTTCTGAAATAGCCTTTCTGTTAAACACATAGGGTGAAATCCTGGCCCCAGTGAAATCAATGGCAAAATTCTCATTGTCGTCCATGGAGCCAGGAGTTCACCCTGGGGATCTCCAGAGTACGGGGTGATGCAACGTGGTATAAAGCTTCCACAGCCACTCAGTTGGGATGACCCAAACCAGGCCATATAGTTACCGACGCAGGGAGAAGTTATCTGAGGCTCGAGGGTCTCTTTAATCTAGGAAGCAAAGGCAGAACAAGATCTAGTAGCTGGAAGCTGAAGTCAGCAAAATTCAAACTAAATATAGATGCGTATTTTTGACAGTGAAGGGAATGGGCCAGTGGGACAGACCCCAAGAGACGTGGTGGATTCCCCGTCACGTGGAGTCTGTTGGGTGTCACTTTCTGTAAGGGACGTTCTAGCTCAGCCACAAGTGCTGGGAATCCCTGGGTGAGATTCTCTGGCCTGGGCTAGGCAGGAGACCAGATTAGGTGAGCACAATGGTCCCTTCCGGCCTAAAGACCTGCGGCCTGTGTAGCTCACTCATGAATTTTCCTCTCGCGAGCCATCTCCCCCTTGGGCTGAGGCGAACGCACCTGGCCCCACCCAGACCGTGATCTGGATGAGACGCTGGAGAATAAACGCTCTCTCTTTATTCCCTTTTGCAGGAAGAAGTGCTCAGAAACAGCTTCCAGGACTTGGCTACTGAAGTCGCTCCACTTTATAGGAGGCTTGCGCCGCAGGCCTATCAAAATCAGGTACCAAAGAAAACTGTTCTTCCTCCCCCCTCTGGTATTAGCATTACAGACCCTTAGTTTAGGGCTACTCGGTGTCTGCTTGGATGAAGATCCCACCAGCACAACTGCCCTGAGATGGCCACAGTCCCAGCTGGAGCTAACTCTAGGAGGTGTGGGGGGGGGGGTCAAGCAGCTGTCCTGTCATTGACTGACACAGCACTGGGCATTTGCATTTCCCCCAGCAATTCTCTAGCAGCGCAGAGCTAATTTTGCCTGATGCAAACCCAAGGAGGTTGTGGTTGGAAATGTGGGCGCATGTCCCTGGTGATACAGCCCAGAGGGGCATCCTGGTGACATATTGCCAAGACACAGCCCTGTAATGCTGAGTGGGTGACGTGCCAGCAGAGTGAAGCCTTCAGGGCTGCTTGATATTTGCTTCTTTCCTTGATTAGCTGAAGGGACTCTAGTGCTGGCAGAAGGTGCTAGGCTGACAGCCCCAAACGCCTCTGTTTTTCCACAGAGTGGGCTTCCCCTGGGGGAGACCCCCTCATCTCTAGCAGTCTCCGTCGTCCGTTCAGTCCTTAGGCTGCCAAAAAGGGCACCCCGGGTGGTGGGGTTTTATTATGCCAGTGTGGAAGAAAGGGTCAGTCCTGCAAGGTGCTGTGCATCCCCCTCCTCCGTTGAAATCAGTGGGCACTCAAGGAGCTCAGCACCTGGCAGGCCAAAGGCCACCCCCTGAGTATAAAGTGACAGCATCTGGCCAGATGGTCACGCTTTAAATGCCTTCAGGGTGCGCTTAGATTGCGCTCTGCCCCCGTGACAGCACCACCCAGCCCCATCAGGACTGGCGCAGGCTGAGGGTTTTTAGTGTCAGAAGCCAGGAAGCAGGATGCTCGGATCACAAGCGACACACGTTCTGTTTCCAAGGAGGACGTTTGGCAGCAGCTTGGAGAAAAACGCACCCCAGAGTGGGTGTCCACAACAAGGCTGAGGAAGCATATATAGTCTGGGCTCTGCTGAGGCTCTAAGGCAGAGAAGAGGAGGGTTGTTGCTGGGGGTGATGACTGGAGAGATGCCCAGGGCAGGGGTTATGTCCAGACAGGAGCAGGCTCACCCCTCTGGCTTTGGATTTATGCTGGTGGCACTGAGATCAGAGTCTGGCATCTGGGACACGGCCAGCCATGTGATCCCTGCCTACCCTCCACCGCCCCTCGCACAGCCGATCTGGAGTCAGTCACGACTGAGCCCTTTGTGTGTTTTATTTCAAATAAAATACAGTGTGTGTTCAGTGCATCGCTCCCCAGAAAGATTTGGATCTGTAATCAAGGCTGTAGACAGCCGGGGAATGGGGGGGACAATTGTACCAGAGCCCTAAGCTCAGGGAGCCCCCAAAACAGCTGTAATGTCTGTGTAAATAAATTGAAATCGGCAGAGGTGGGGCCCCAACAAACCTGATGTACCAGGGTCCCACATTTCTCTCAATGGGCTTTTCTGTGATAATAGAAGGCCCTGATCCAGCAAAGCCCTTAAGCATTCACCTACTTAAAAATGCACACATGCTTACGGTCTAATTCTCATTCACACTAAAGCTTCTTTGCATCGCTCTGGCCTTACAGGGTCTGTCTACACTGCATTGAAAACCCAGGTCTGTGGGACCCGCTTGTGGACTTGGCGTTTCCACGCCTGCGCTGGAGCATCCACACTGCATTGTAACCCTGGGTTTGCTGTGCACAGCTGTGCTAGCCTGTCCATACTGGGCCATTCAGCCCTTCTGACTCCTGCTGTGGCTGAAGCTGCGTCCACACCGCAGAACGACAGGGCTTGGACCTGAGTCTTGGCGGGATTCGGGCTCTGACCCACCTCCCTGGCAGGGTCCTGAGCGCCTGCTGGCCGAATCAGGCTGATTTGTGTGTGGACGGAAGGAGGGCTTGGGCTCAAACCTGAATCAGCGCGTAGGCTCAGTGTGCAGCGTAGATGTACCCAAAATGGGTTTAGATGACAGCTAATCCTGTTCGAGTACAGCCAGACCAGTGTGAAAGGGTCTCAGTCTAGCTGCGAATTGGGCCCCTAAGTGTTTTGCTGGGCTGAGGCCTACATCAGCAGCTCTCAGCCTGTGGGTTGCTAGTGCCAATGGAGGCTCCAGCAGTTGTCTGGAGTGTCACAAGTCTCTTCCCAGGCCCCTGACTCCAGCCCGTTACTGAGGTGGCTTTGCTCAGTAATGGGTACCTCCGATACGGGCAGGCTTCCATGTGGCAGCGGAGTAACAGGAGCCGTCTCATTTCCCTTGGGCTAGGTTACAAACGAGGATATCGCAATAGACTGCCGGCTCGGTCTGAAAGAAGGAAGGCCGTTCTCTGGGGTGACCGCGTGTATGGACTTCTGTGCGCATGCTCACAAGGATCAGCATAACCTCTACAATGGATGCACGGTGGTAAGGAGGCATTTTCATTCTCAGCTTAGGGAAAGAGGGAGGGGAGAGCACCCTTCTCTTGCAAGGTCATCTCAGCGTTGGGTGAAAGGTGCCTGGTCTGCAGGATGGATGCAGCGTGACAACGCCCCTCCCTACCATCCCACCTCTGCTCTGCAAGGACCGCCTTGAGGTGGGGGTTCAGTCGGTCTCCATGGTGCACTCAGACATTTCCAGTGGGGCTGCTAAGGAATAATCAAGGGAGGCAGCATGGCCTAGTGGAATGAGCACTAGCTTGGCACTCTGGAGACTTGGATTCTAGTCCCAGCCCTGCCACTGGGCAAGTCACTTCCCCGCTCTGTGCCAATGGGGATGGTGGGGCTGACCTCCTTTGTAAAGTGCTTTGAGAGCCGCTGATGAAAAGCGCTGTGTAAGACAGGTGGTGTTAGTGAAGGCCAGTTACGCTAGGCTGGTTGTGTGTGTGAGTGAGAGATGCAGGTGGACTGAGAGCCCCATCCATCCTCTGAACCTGGGCTGGTTTGGGATCCAGCAGCTGTGAATAAGGCTGTTTTCGCTCACCTAGCAAGGGGCCACAGGCTAGATCTTTAGCCGGTAGAAATCGGTGTAGCTCCACTGAAGTCCACAGAGCTGTGTTGATTTGCATCAGCTGAGGGTCTTACCCCACGTCTCGAACTCAGGGTGTGTTCTGAAGCAGGTCTGCGTGTGCCAGCTGCTCCTTGCAGTGGGGGAGGAGGTAAAGGTTACTCACTTTTGCTGCACCCCTCTTGAGCTGCCTCGAGCACAGCTCGGACATGGCTAGGCAGCATATGCAAAGTGCTGCCATCTGCTAACAGACAATATTTGTATCCCCTCCACTTTTTTCAGAGAGCCTGATTTCAATAGCGGCGCCTTTGAGTTTTCATTTAATTAGAAATTCCCTTTCTGGGGAAGGAATTATCTCTGCCTATCAAGGGTTCTGTGATCCACAGCTGAAAGATCTGAGAGGCTACATACTTAATTATGACACCCTTCCCCCCACCCCGCACCCCAACACACACACTGAGTACAGTACCATTATTGCAAGCCAAAATATCAGCTTTCACTCAAATCTCTCTCTGTAATTGCCTGAGAACGCAGAAGGGACATCAAAGCCTTGCAATTCATGAGTTAATCTCTGTACAGTGCTGTGAAAATGCCAGGGCTAGATAAAGGACAAGTGCTAATTACTGGTATTAATTTGCCGTCCTCACCAGCAGCAGCACCAAAATACGTGGGATACTCCTGAGCTCACGCCTGACAAATCCGGCAGAATTTTCTGGGAGGCAGTGTCGTGTAGTGGTTGGAGCGAGGTTTCTGGGAAGGCTCACTCCTGGGTGCTGTTCCTGGGTGCTCTGACTCACTGTGGGTGATAGTCGTCCCTGTACAGAAGGCCCACACAGTTGAGCTAGGGCTTTGGGTTGACACTCTGCATAAGGATCATTTTCATCCTGCATGAGCTCAGAAAGCCGCTGTGCTACATTTTGCTGGGGGGTGATAAGTACGTCCCTACCAGTTCCCGGGGGGAAGAATGTGAGGCTAATTTCAATAATGTGTGTAAACACCTAAAGTGAAGGGGGCCTGTCGGAGTGCAAGGTGTTTTTATTTCAGTATAAAAAGGCTCTAGGCGGGGGAAGCAGCGGACATAATTTCCCTGGACTGGAGTAAATTGTTTGCACAAATAAGGCACTGAGGTGAAGTGAAAGCAGGTGAGGATACTAGATCTGCCACATTATCCATATAAATCCTCCCTGCCATTTCAGTGGGTATGTAGTATTCTTCGCAGCATATCTGTTGTTGCAGTGGTGCTGTGCGCTGTTAAACAGCGGCCTTGCTTCGTCCTAGAGGTGGCTGCATTTCAGTGGTGGGCAGAATGACTCTTCTTTATATATGGATTGTAAAGTGTCTCGGATACTTTGCGATGAGAGGTGCCGTTTATCCTGGGTGTGAATTATCACCACGGTAGCCCCAGTTCAGGAAACCACTTAAGCCTGTGCTTAATTTTAACCGTGTACTTCTGTCCCACAGTCTTCAGCTTCTGCGTGTATTTAAGTGCCCTTCCTGAATAGAGATGCTTTCAGGGCATATGTTATTAACGGTTTGAATGGGGCTTTCAGCTTCCTGGCCATTGGCTAATTGGTGCTTCTCCCCTGTCCACCCCAGGTGTGTACCTTAACGAAGGAGGACAATCGGAGCATTGGGAAGATTCCTGAGGATGAGCAACTGCACGTCCTTCCGCTATATAAAATGTCCACCACGGATGAGTTTGGCAGCGAGGAGAATCAGAACGCAAAGATGGGCAGCGGGGCCATTCAGGTGCTCACCTCCTTCCCCAGGGAGGTCAGGAAGCTGCCTGAGCCTGCCAAGTCTTGCAGGCAAAGGCAGCTAGAAGCCAAAAAGGCAGCCGCTGAGAAGAAGAAAATGCAGAAAGAGAAGCTAATCACCCCTGAGAAAATAAAGCAGGAAGCACTAGAAATCCCGACACTCCAGCAAAATACAGGTAACGGGGGCAGGGCTCTGGGTTTGCCAAGTGTATCTCAAGTGTGTTGCACAGTTTTGTTGCCCTTGGATATGAATTCATCAGGATGCTTTATAGCAAGGATCCTTTGTGGTGCACTATTTTATTCGCTCACCAATTCGCTCGATAGCACAGATCCTTTGTGTAGCAAGTTTTGTGTTGCACCAATCCAGTAGCTCACCAGTTTGCTTCGTGGCACAGATGCTTTGTGGTACCCTGTTGTATTAGCTCACCGGTATGCTTTAGAGCACAGATCCTTTGTGTAAGATAGTTCTGTTGCACTAGTGCTCACAGTGAGATTCAGACCACAAATCCTGCCTCTAGTTCAGGCACTGTTCAGGCCTCTTTCTGGCTTTTTAATGCTATGCCGGTGGGGGCTTTTTTATTTGGCTCTTCTGTGTACCAGGACAGCTGCGCTTTGCTGCAAGGCATGTAGCTTACAGAATGTTATAGGCACATGACCCACAATCAAACACAGCTACGGCCTGCCCTCTAAGCAGCATTTGGATGGCATAGCTCTTCTATGTAAGTCGTGTTGTACAGGCCACTAGTTTAGAACCAGCATTCTCTTGACATCTCCAATCACATAATAAGCGGCGTGTGACCCTCGGTGAAGCTTTGGCAGTGATTGGTTCTGGGGAGAAGATCCTCGGCTGGTGTAAATCAACGGAGTTCCATGGACTCCAGTGGGGCTCTGCTGATTTACACCAGCCAAAGCGCTGGCCCATGACTTAATCTTTGGCTTACTAAGGAGATTCCCCTAGGCTGTATGGCCAGTCACCGTTGCACTTTGTGTTTTGCCCACAGGTATGGCGTTGAAAAATGGACTCCCCCAGCACTCAGTCAAACCTTCCATCAAAGTTGAACCTCAGAACCATTACAACACTTTCAAATACAACGGCAATGCAGTGGTGGAAAGCTACTCCGTGCTGGGGAGCTGCCGCCCCTCAGACCCGTACAGCATGAACAGTGTTTACTCTTACCATTCCTACTATGCACAGCCTAATCTGCCTTCCATGAATGGGTTTCATTCAAAGTTCACTTTTCCCTCCTTTGGATATTACGGATTCTCCAGCAACCACATGTTCCCTTCGCAGTTTCTGAATTACGGTGCCACTGAGCCGAGGAGCGGGGATTGGGTAAGTAGCAGCTATGAGAAGAAACCCGATCTCCAAGCATTGCAAGATAACCTTAACCACACTTACAGGAATTCAGAGTTCTCAGAGCAACTCCCACACTCTGTACGAAACAAAAACCACCACCAGCGGACCTATGAGAGAGCCAACAGGTATGCCAGCCAGAAGTCCATGGCCATGTCCCATAGGACTAACTCGGTCCCAATGGAAACCCCATCGTTTGCACAAAACACAAACTGTTTCAGCAACCGAGCAATCAAACAAGAGCCCGTAGACGCCTTGTCACACATCGAGTCCATTCAAAGGGCTGCCATGAATGTACATAACTCAAGTCTCAACCTGTCCGCTGTGCCCGTGTCATCTCAGAACGGCGATCAGGAACAACGGTGGAGCCCCTACAAAGTCAACAGGAATGTGTCTCCTTCTGACAGGACTAGTAATGCAGAGCGTTCTTGGAATATGTTTACGCCCAATGACAATACCAACTTACCCAACACGAGCATGCAGGATAAATTGAATTCATTCAATGGACACTCAAATGCTACCCAGTTACCCCAGTCTCACCTCCAGGAGAAACAATGGAACGTATTTTCTGGAGATGGGCAGGCAACGCAACATAGTTCTAGCCTGCTTGGGAAATCATGGAGCCCTTGCAAACTCAACGAAAGCCCTTCGGTCTTGCCTAGTTCTGCAAATTCGAACCTGCAGGAAAAACCCTGGAACCTCAGCCAGCTGAACTTCAGTTCCACCCTCAAGGGGAACCCTGGGTTTCAAGATGAGCTGTGGAACTCGGTCAAGGTGGACGAGAGGAGGACTCCGACACCTAGCTCGGGGCTGCATGAGAAGCCATGGGATTCCTTTGGCTTGTCGGCCACCATGGGGTCAAGCGTGTGTAGCGAGAAGCCATTCGGCACCTTGAAAGCAGACAGTAACGCGTTCTTGCCCAGTATCCGTCATCAGGAGAAACTGTGGGACCCCTTCAGCTTGGATGACAGCATGGAAGAGCTGCCCGATAAGACCCTCAAGGAGGAGGAGGAAGATGATGAGGAGGAAGAGGAGTGGTCAGACAGCGAACACAATTTCCTGGATGAAAACATAGGCGGGGTGGCGGTGGCCCCGGCCCACGGCTCCATCCTGATTGAATGCGCCAGGCGGGAGCTGCACGCCACCACCCCGCTCAAGAAACCCAACCGGTGCCACCCCACCCGCATCTCACTGGTGTTTTACCAACACAAGAACTTGAACCAGCCCAATCACGGCCTTGCCCTTTGGGAAGCCAAGATGAAGCAGCTGGCGGAGAGGGCGAGAGCAAGGCAGGAAGAAGCAGCCAGGCTCGGGCTCCAGCAGGATACCAAGCCATTCAGCAAAAAGCGCAAGTGGGGAGGCGCCGTGGCCCCCGAACCCCAACACAAAGAAAAGAAAGATTCTGTCCCAACACGGCAAGCAGTGGCTATTCCAACAAACTCTGCTATCACTGTGTCCTCATATGCCTATACCAAGGTAACTGGACCATACAGTCGCTGGATATGAGATTAATACAGCTAATATGGCCATCTTACCTCAACGTCTGCGACACTGGACCACAGTGTTGCTTTGTGGTGCTTTCTCCTAATGCATGTAGGGGAAAAAATCTACTCAAGTGCAAACCTTCTAAAATCTGCACTTTGAGAGGAGTTCAAAAAAACAAACAAACGAACACTTATTGCTGTTAACATTTTTCAGTAATCTAATATTTATATCTCCGCATTTTTTTAATCTATCCTTGTACATCACAAGAATGGAAAAGAAAAATTTATAGTGTCCTTTCACAAAGGAGAGGTTTTTAATTCCATTTAAAATATGTATTTATTGGATTTTTTTTTATTATTACAACAATGAAGCAGATCTTAAAAAAAAAAAAAAAAACACCAAACCAGCTTGAAAAAAAAAAATCTGTACAGCTCACTCGTGTTAACGCTGGTAGGGAATTTCAGCTTGGAAACCATCTGGAAACGTGTGCTTTAAAGTCAATCGAAAATGGTTTGAACATCCGGTTTTTCAAATGAACTAAAGTGCATATTTTGCAGCTTGACTGATCGTTTCTTATAGATACAGTAACCCTCTGGAGCTGGGAAATATACAGATAATTATGTGGAAATCAGTTGCAGATAGAGTAATGGATTCCCACTTCTAGGCAGATGCTGAGGTTTTGAAGATGGTTTGTTTAACGGAGGTGTTTTCTCCTAACAGCTCCTGTTTATAGGTAAAGGGTTTGATTTGCCTCCTACTTGCCTCAGGAATAAATCCATTGAAATTGATGGAGTTACACCAGTGGAAAACCAGAGCCTGTGTAAACAGGCAGCAGAAGTCCCTAAGTCTGACTTAAGTGGTGCTATGCCTCATCCTGGCCCCTCTGCAAAGGGGTAATTTCCTAAGTGGGAGGACAGTCAGGTCTGATGGCTTTAAAGTGCTGTGAGTTCAGAATGTGAGCTAACACCAGACACTTTAGATGAATACATTATAAACCAGGTTGAAAGCAAGACCAAATTATCCAGGATGATTTGTCTTCATGCTGAATAGTTTATCAGCTATTTTGATATTCTCACCAAACTCACATTGTTATGTATTCAGCTACAAGGTGACATTAGAGAGGAAAGTAGGTTTCTTATACAAGAGACAGGAGCCTGGGACATCTGGACTACTTTCCATGCTATTTTTGTACCGGTCATACTCTGTCACCTTATAGCAGTAAAAAAAAAAAAAAAAATCTGGAGGGGGAAAAGAGGGGGTTACTGTATCTTCAAGAACCCAACAAAAACTGTGAATAGTTAGTGTTGCTCTGTGTACTCACTGTTGCTAAGTTTGGTGCTTTCAGTCTCAAGGGGACGTTCTCTGTTTGATCAGCTCTGGGAGGAGTGAATACTGAAAATGACTTGCAAGCCGCCTTCTACATTTTCCAATGGTGCATGCTTCCGTACTGTAAAAACTCCCCTATGACAAGTCGACGTTTTCAAACACAAAAATGAAATTGACGACCGTTTTCTGCAAGCTAATTATTTTCCCGGTGCCATTTTTTATAACGATGATGATGATTACAGCAAAACTAAGTGGTGCTTATTAACAATCTGAATCATGACTTCTTTTCCCCTTCTACAAAGCTGTTGGGAACGATTGATTCAAATAACTTGCTAAATAGGAGTGACGGGTGGGAGGAAATTCTCTGAAGCTAGAGAGACGTTCTCCGTGGGAGGGCTGGATTTCTGTGATGTTAGCAGAAATTATATGGAGCGATCCCAAAAAAAAATGTAGGGTGAAATTCACCCATGTGCAGAGGCCCTGCACAATTTCTGTGCCCAACTTATGCCCTGAGTCCTCACTGCTTAGGTCTCGCCTGGTGTAAAAAGACCATTGATTTCACTAGAGTTACAATCATTTACCCCAGCTGAGGATCTGGCCCTGAGGGTTTAAATGGTATTTAAGTGATGCCTGGGCCCTTGAGCATGTTCTCTACAGAGGTGAATTTCTTCCTTCATGGGGACTGAGCCCTGAGATAAATGATAAAGTACTTAATGGATAACAGGTGCTATCCTGCTCCCGTTGAAATCACTGGCAAAATTCCCACTGACTTCAGCGGGAGTCAGAGTAAGTCCATTGCTTGCTGTTCCTACAGGACATTCTGTGGGAAATTCTAAACGCAGAAGCCTGGTTCTTCAGCTGAGTAGTCCCATTACTTCTCGGGGATGGGGGGGCTGCTCCCCTGCATAAGATTCTGAAAGATCAGGCCTGGTAGACATTTAAAACTGGATAACAATACTCAGTCATAATTCTGCACTTTCAGGTGCCTTTTGGAGAGTCAGAGAGAGAGAGAGAGAGCTGAGAACTTAACCGTACATAACGTTTTGTTTACTGTAAACCTTGTTCCTCGTGCACTGGCACAGAAAATCACAGGATCGCTGTAAAACATCCTGAACGTTTGTGTGGTCTGATTTTAAACTGTAAATAGGGAAAGATTTTTTTAAAAGCACTTTCACCTAGATTTAAAAACAAAACAAAACAAAAAAAACCCAACCCCAACAACTTGAAAGCAGTATGTTTTAAACAGATTATCGTGGGAGAACTGTAAATAGTGGCAAAATATTTAACATGCTTTGTCCGTCCTTCATAATTTTTTTTTCTGTATTCTGTATAGTTGCATATATTTGACAAGGAAAATCAATGAGCTATTATTGCTTTGTTATAAATACCCAAGATCATATCAAGGCTGTAGAATTATTCCAAGTCAGATTTATAGGAAACCCTCTGAACTTCACAGTATAACAAACTAAAGCACTCAAGGGGGTAGATCCTCAGCTGGTGTATAGCGGCCATTGTCTTCAGTGGAACTATGCCAGCTGTGTCTCTGGCCCTCAGTCCTTATGGTCCTGTCGTGCACTATTGAAGGCAATGGGAGTTTTGCCATTGACCCCGATAGTTGCAGGATCAGGCCCTTAGTGAGCATGCTAATTTTCTAGCTTTGAGGAAACGTTGGACCTGAACTTCTTAAAAATGGCTTCTTTTTGTTGTTGTTGTGGTTTTGATTTCTTTCCAGCATCCATACTTTTCACCCAGGTCTCATTCGACTTCCATATTTTAGGTTGTTGCATGGGTGCCTTGAAAGCTTCTTTTAGATGACTTTGGAGAGCGAGAAATTGTAATATTTGGGGTGGGGGGGAAGGGGAATGCATTTTAAGAATGTGACGGAGTCCATCTGACCTGTCAGAGTCGCACTTCTTTGTAGGTTTCTGTTTAGGAATTTTTAGACTGATCTGATTGTGATATATTATAACATTTGTGAATATACTCATGTTCAATGTATGTCCGGTCATAGCCTATTGGTAATAGCGGTGATATTATTAGACGGAGGTGGAGAAAATGACAGAAGGGCCAAACCTTGTTTGCCTCACTCACGCAAATAATCCTTGAGGGCCAGATTCTGATCTTCGTGACCCCCTTGTAAAACCAGAGTCATTTCACTGCAGTTGGTAGAATTACACTGGCGTAACTGAGATCAGAGTCTTGGCCCGTAGTTTTGGCCCTTTAACTAAGAATATAGAGCCTGACTCTCCACTTGCTCCATCATGCCAGTTTTACACCAGCATAACGGGGCGCAGAGTCAGGGTCATGACCTCATATTCTGATTTTATCTATGTTGGTATAAATCTGGAGTGGAATTACACCAGAGTAAATGAGGTCAGAATCTGGCCTATCATTTTCCCAAACAGCTTTAAAATAGATAGTTTTGGTTAAAAAAATAAGGCTGTTCCAAGTAAAAGCAAACCTCCCAATTCCAGCCAGCACAGCTAAAATGGTGTTTTAATTGATGATGAATACTGTTGCAGTCTCACATTGTTTTACACTACATATATAACCTACCTCAAATCTCAGTCATTAAAAATTAGCATGCGTCAGACTTCTATTAAAAATATAAAACTATGCACAGCTATTAACCCCTTGCTGCTGAAAGTCTGTTTAAAATATTTTTCTTTATTTTCTATTGGCACTATCATTTGTATCTAATGTCGTGGCGATCACAGTTGTTTTTAACCATGAAAAAGCCATTGTGATTCAAAGCATTAAAAGAATCCAATAGCATGAAGCAGAAATGGACCCTATATACAGCTGTATTCTTAGGATGGCTGCAAAAGATTAAGTCAGTGGAGCCATGCCAATATACACCTGCTGAGGATCTGGCCCTAGGAGTCTGTTATCTCTCATAATTGAAGGATACACTGGATTCTGCTCTCGTTACACCAGAGTAAATTTGAAGCCACTTGAAGAAACAGGCTTGATTTTTGCTCTAATTTCGCCTGAGCAATTCCATTGATCCTCAGCTGGCGTAAATCAGCGTAGCTCCATTGATGACAATGGAGCTGCGCTGATTTACACCAGGCCAGGCGACTTCAGTGGAATTACTTCTGATGTCCACTGAGGACTGAGGTGAGGATCCAGACCCGTTGACTCCACCATTGTAACTGGGTGACAGCCAGCCATGTGCAGAGAAACAGCTAAAGGCCGATGCACCACTTCAGCTCATGTTGGCTTTAAGGGGAACATAAGTGGTGCACAGGCGTTCTGCGCAAGGGTGAATTTTACCCACTCAGAGCAGAATCCAGCCCAGCATCCCACCACATTGATTTGTCTTTAATGTCATAACACAGGTGAAATGACAAGCTCAGAATAGTGCTAAGGGATTTTTATTTACTTTTGGTGTAATGATTTGCAGCAGGTATAACCAACAAACGGTGCTAGGACAACAAACAAGTCTATAACCCTGGGAAAATCTTGACAAAAGGGCCTGCTCCTGCTCCCATTAAAGTCATCAGCAAAGCTTCCATTGACTTCCATGGGAAGAGGTTTTGAGCCCAAAGAGGTTGTTTCAATGTTTTTCTTTCAGGACATCAGTCTCTTCATCTGTAATGCTTTGCCTTGTTACCCAGACACAGCGGAGTGGACTGAAGTCTCTCGCTTTTGGCACTTATTTCTTGCTTCTGATACAATCCAGGGCTCACAGCAAAAGGGAAATGAAGGGAATGTACAGGAACCAAATATTGGCCCTGATCCTGCATTCCCAGCCTCCCTCACCTATCACTGAATTCAGATGGTGCAAGGAATCCAGGATTGCATTTGATGTACTGCTAAATATTACTTATGCAGAGTGAAATTCACCCTTGTACAGAGGACCAGCATGAGTACACACCACTCAAATCCCATAGATCTGACATGGCACATAGGCCTTTTGCGGGGACAAATTTCGCTCAGAGTGATTAGCAGACAGGTTGGGGGAGGAAGCTTCTTCGTGCTCTCGATGAGGTCAAAGGCAAAATTCTATGGGCCTAAAGTCTCATTGGG